AAATAAAAAATCCAGCACAGGGGGGTCGCGGCACAGTGGTGCCGTGGTATAGTTGGATCAAGTATAATGATATCTGACAGTGATTAAAATCACTATAAAAAAAAACGCTCCGATGCAAATCTTTAGATAGTGTTTAATTTAAAAAAAATTGGTGTTTTATTCCAAAAGCTACATGATCTGCTGGTTCCTTATTAATATCTCTATTAAGATAAAGTATGTCGAATGAAAAAGGGTTTATTAAAAAATATTATTTTTCATAAAAAAATTGTTTGGATCCATACACTTTTCAATAAGTCATAGCATTATAAAGTTAAATATAATATAAAAAAAATAAAATCGAGAATTTTCACACGAAAATAGCATTCGGTAGCCATTTTCAGCTCGAAGACAAGTCCAGAGGTCAAGTTTTTTTTTTTCAAATTAAAGTATATTACATAAGCTTTAATTTCAGATATATATAAAAGTGTCAGACCTTCCGGAACACTTTTAAAAGTTAAGTTGAAAAAGTTCTACTTTATATATGCATTTTTTATATTTGAAGCCCCCCCTTATATAGGGAAATGGTCTGATTAAAAAAAAAAATTGTCCATTAAAAGATGTATATAAATACTACTTCTCATGAAAAAATTGTATTGATCCATACATTTTTTAAAAAGTTATAGCACTTTAAAGTAAAAAATGTAAAGTATAAAATCGAGAATTTTCACACAAAAATAGCATTCGGTAGCCATTTTCACCATGAAGGCAAGTCCAGAGGTCAAATGTTCATTTTTGAAAAAGTTACGGCACATTTTAGTAAAAAAAATTGAAAAAATTTCGAAAATTAGCGATTTTTAAATTTGTAATTTTTTTGGAGGTTTCCCCCATTTACGGGGAACGAGGGAATTTTTTTCAATTTTTAAGGGTAATGTCTTCGACTAGATACAATTTGTGATCTTTTGACGTATCGTTGAAAGAAATCAGTTCGGTGAGAGCTGAGAAAAGTGGTAACAGTAACAAACAAAACACATCATAGTAAAACTAATACCTTCTCAGCTTCGCATCGAAGCTAAATAATGAAATTAAATTTTATGAAACTACTATACAACTAACAATGTAATAACTTTATTATTATAGACTTGTACCACCATTGTTACTTCAAAATACAGAACAAAGGATTGCTGCGCTAAACAAATTATTTTCAAAACGTCATTTTAAGGAACCTTTTAAGAATATTAAGATTATCATGGAAAATGGTAAAAAATTAACCGCGAATACTTTATCCCAAACTAATGTGGATTTTATAAACTTAAAGCAAAATGAAAAATATTTTGAACAATTATTGAGGTGTAGGTATGCCGAAATACTTAAATACTATGAGCGTTTATTGCATAACATAATCAACTTATGTAGAAATGAAGAAATAAAAAGTCATATTAACATACATAAGGAAAGCTTTATAGAATGCGTTAACCAACTGCGCAATTCAATATCGTTGTCTATTAATATGTTTAAATCCTTATTATCTGCTATGGCAATACTAAAAAAATTATATATTTGGGAGTATGTCAAAAAAAGCCATAATTCTCTACACAAACCATCGAATATTATAATGAAATTATTTTATGATTTCAAATCTCTATGTATTGAAAATACAAAAACGATGAATGAAATAGAAGCAAAGGCGTTTTTATGGAAATTATCTGAGTCATCGGAGAATTTTAAAACTGATCTTAGAACTGAAATGGGTATTCGATTTAAAAATCGTTGTGAACTTTTAGATCACTATAACAATATTTTAACATTTAATAGTTTATCTAATAATCTGAAGGGTTCAATGAAACATGATGGACTTATTTATAATCTTTTTTACTCACAAATAAATACATTTTGCAATGAAATTATCAATACTGATTACAAAAATCTAGGCTTTGAAGATTTAATATAAATTTTTTGTGTATACTTCTTTTATTTGTTATAATTTATTTTTCAACTTAAAACGAATATTATCGTGTTAATGATGTAAGGCTTATAGATTCTAAGATGTCAAGCACCTCACGTATTCTTACTCTTTTCTTTATTAATATTTAGGGATATTGTAGTCTTCATCCTATTATAAGTTACTATTACTCATCAACCTTAACTTACGTTAATAATTCATTAATTATAAGATTTTAAATATTATAAGATTACCAAGTTTATTCAACTATTAATGAACGTGTCTGTTGATTGATTATAATAATTTATTCATAACAATCAGTAGTGATGAGCAAAACAAGAACAAGACCAAGACTGTCAAAGTCTTGGTCATAGTCTTGTTCTTGATAGCTCAGTCTTGGTCTTGGTCTTGCTTTGCTAACTCAGTCTTGGTCTTGGTTTTGGTCTTGCAAATCTAGTCTTGTTCTTGTTCTTGGTCTTGCTTTGCTAACTCAGTCTTGGTCTTGGTTTTGGTCTTGCAAATCTAGTCTTGTTCTTGTTCTTGGTCTTGCCCATAAAATCTTGTTCTTGTTGTGAGTCTTGTCACAATACTCTTGCAAAATCTTGCATTCATTTATATTTGTAAAAATTTTCTACTTAAAAGGTTTAAATAACGAAGTTATCTACTTCAGTTTGTAAATTCAAATTTAATTTATATGCCATAGGATTTTTAAGTTAGAACTTAATATTAGCATAAACAATATGGATGATTTTTTTATGAATAGTTTGGGGTATTAAAAAAAAATAAACAAATAAATTAAATTATAAAAAAATAAGACGTTATTGAAACAAAGTATTTTTTCACTTTAAACTGATGGCGTAATATTGTCCGAATGGTAACGCAGCGGATGTGCGGTCGGGGAGGACGCGATTTCGATTCTCCTAGTCGGATAATTTTTTTTGCATTTTAATTAATTTTTTTCATTGAATAATGAACATGAATATATTTATTTTATGAGTTTACCAGTCGCCGGTTTTATGTATCGATTTTTAAAACCGGTTTTAAATAATAATCGCTTTCTGTTCATAGACACAGTTTTTAAAAATTATTGGTTTTGATTAACAAAACCGAAAAAAACTGTTATAACCAGTTTTTATAAAACCAGTTTCAGTCTCCGCTTTAGAAGTAAACAAAAATTTTATCTAATTTTATCATAATGTTTGAAGCACGGAATATTTATTTTTAATCTTCTTTAATTATTTAAAATTAATTAATTACAATTGAATGACAATAAATTTTGAAACATGATTGTAAAATTTTAAGTTAATCGGTAACATCAGCTCATAGGTAATATTTAATTTGAACAATACGCGTAATGAATAAAAATCAAAGTAAAATTTAATATTGTCGAATCTGTCATTAATAATCTTAACGATTTTAACCAACAAAATTTTTTTTTTTTTTTGCAAGAGTGCAATACTCTTGCAGTTTTATTCTTGTTGTTGCAAGATTCTTGCATTTTGAGTCTTGGTCTTGGTCTTGTTCTTGCAAGTCTAGTCTTGTTCTTGTTCTTGGTCTTGCTAAAAAAGTCTTGGTCTTGTTCTTGTCAATTGAGTACAGTCTTGATGTTGGTCTTGCTGATATTATTACAGTCTTGGTCTTGTTCTTGGTTTCGTAGAAATGCAAGACCAAGCCAAGACCGGAAGAACAAGAGTAATTCTGCTCATCACTAACAATCAGTTTGTAATGACATTATTACCTCGTAACATAAAGCTTTTTGTATAATTCATTTAAATCAGTGAGAGTCCAATACAAGTTCTTATAGTATTTCACCTCTATAAATGGAGTTTAAATTGCTCAAAACATTGAGATTTTAAAAATTATTTAAAATAATTGTAATCGACAAAAAAAAAGTAGGCAAAGGATTTTTAATGCGGAACGCATTCATCATAGACTAGTTGTAGCGTTGATTATTGTAGTTTATCATCAGACATTTATTAGCAATAAAAATAAATTGTACAAAGTTGTTATTTGACTTTGGATAATTATCTTAGGTTAAGTAATAGAAACTTATAGCAGGTTAAAGTCTTTTGAATAATTTTATATTACAAATGATTCTAAATTTTTTCAACTACAAACATTGTATACATGTGCTGAATTATCGTGAACATAAATAAATAAGTTATTAGTATAAAATAAAAATGATTTTTTTTTATTCTATTTTACACTTTAAAATTTATATTCTTAATAATATATTGAGTTTATAGATTATGAAGTCTACGAAATTATTACTAGATTTATAGAATTAATTTGATTTAAAACCTTAGAAAAATGTTTAAAAAAATTTAGTATATTTTATATAGTGTTCAATAAGTAAGATCTATTATTAATATTGTTTGTAATAATTTATCAGTCTCTTTTTTTTAAACACCCTGTCTATAAGTTAATTATTTTATCTAAACAGTATTTAATGGTAAAAAATATAGTTTAAAAAAACAGAAAAACATGCTTTTAAAGTATATCGAACTAAAAATTTAAAAAATAAACTTAATACAATAATGAACGAAAAATACTAGTATTATTGTTTTATCTTTATTTTAAAAATTATTTTTAAATTTTAGTTCGATATGCATTAAAAGCGTGTTTTCAGTTTTTTTAGACTATATTTATTTTTCACTTTTTAGTTTTTATGACATCGCTGTTACAGTCACGGAGTGTTTATTGTAAATAATGACTATCAAAAGATATAATTTCTGTATTGCCAGTTAGTATGTTTAAAAACTCACAACAATATGTCTTATAACCATTGATATTAAAGGCTATATACCTACAAATATCGTCATAAAAACCAATTAGCTACCTGTATTTGTAATCCCTTATGTATTATATATGTATATTATTAACTCAAAAAAAAATTAAATCTTTAAATGTTTATATCTAATAATAAACAATAGAAATTTGTTTATATTTATATATAATATTGATGATACGCACGCATGTACGGGTACGAAAACCACATATAAAATTATACAGGAATCGTGTTACCGGCGTGTGGTGAATGGGGTGGGGGTGAATGGGGTGGGGTTGAATGGGTTATGAAAGTCTAGTCTTAAGGCCATAGACGACGGGATACGCGAGAATGATAACACGTGGCGCGTTGAGAGTTACAAACAACAAACAACATACATGTGAAACTAATATAAGCGTGTTAATAATTGTATTCACATATTTTTTTTGCTTTGTTACGGAGCTTAGGTCATTGTTTTACCATGTTTCTTTTTATATCTGCCCATTAATATTCTCAGCTGTACTGGATCGATATTGTTTATATAAATGTTAAAAGAACCTGATTTTAATTTACTTGTACGTCTCAGCATCAAAAATTATAATAAACCTTTATTTAAATAAAATTAAAAATAATATTTCAAAATTACCCTTCCGTAAATATATAATTTTAAAATTTTTTTTTGAATTTTAAAACTGTTATATAAACACTGACTTTAATGAAATAATAGAAAAGTACTAAATACAATTAATAAGATTATTATTAATCTACTACATGTTTTATATATGTGTTAATCACTGTCAGATATCACTTATACTTGCCGCGGCTATACTATACTGCGTGCCTACTGTACTGATGTTTTTGTACTTGCAATTTTTAAAATAATTATCTTTCATTAAGGGGTAATATCCACCAAATTTTTTTTTATTGGCTTTAACCATGCTTAAACTATTCTAGAATCAAAATATTCAACGCCCAAGTACTGATCTAAACTCAAAATTCGTTTAAATCAATTTTTACCGAACAACATTTTGGCTCCAAAATCACATTTTTCGCTTATTTTAGCGATGCTCGTTTTTTTTTAATTTCGCGGCTTTGTAAATTAGTAGAAGTTACCTATGATCGATATCGTGTTTTGAATTTGAAGTATAGAATTTCGACCGTTACTACAGCGTCTGTACAGCACGTGTTTACTTACAATTTCCTTTTTTTTAGTCGATCAGCCATTCTCGTTGTGTACGTTCTTAGTTTGAGTTTTGCTATACTTTTTAACTGTGAATTATATTCAAAAGTATTTAATTATGAGTGACAAGGTGTACATAAGGCCACAAAGGCAGTAAAACAAGAAGTACCAGAACAACCCGGAGTAAAATTAGTAACTGACACCCGCCTAACCGCCATGCGTTCGAAGGCGATTCGGAGTACGTTAGTACCTCGGCGACAAAATTAAAAACTTCTGATTTAAACCGTGATCGCGATGTTGATAGGGATTTCGGCTACTGTTTCATACATTTTTTCTCTGTATTTACTGCTCTTTCTGAATTATTAGTGTGTAAAAAATGTAATAGTGATGTGCGGTTTTCACAGTCGAGCAAGCGTTGACTAGGCTTCAAAATTGTTGTGTCTTGTTCGAACTGCGTTGATGCCGATATTTTTAATTATCATTGGCATAGGCATAAACGGTATAAAAAAGTTCTTTGTGATGATGGATCTCGCAAAGCCTGTTTTTCAAATAACTTACAGTATGATCATTTCCAATATCGGCACTGCTACTTCATCTGTTAAAATTAATTCTATGAAAAAATCAGCTATTGAAGATAAAAAAGAACGTTCTATTGAACGAGGTGAAGAAGGCGGTCTTACGGTGTCAGGCGATGGATCTTGGCGTAAGAGGTGGTTTTCATCTTTGTTTGCATTAGTTACTTTGATTGGTTGGCACACTGGCAAGGTATTAGATGTGTGTATAAAATCAAAGTACTGTAAAGTGTGTGAATATTGGCAAAAATAAGAAGGTACTGCTGAGTACGAGGAGGTGTACCCTTCGCACAAAGAGAGTGTTCTTGGTGTTTTTGGCATCGCAGTAAAGCGCTTGGTACTCTTGCACCATACGAGCACAAGAGTCCAATGCATGAGGATGTTTTCAAGGCGATACAACCCATTTATAAAGAACTCAGCTCCGACAACCTTCTGTCACGCTGCTTGGGTGAGTATTCTCAAAATAGTAACGAGTATTTCAATGCTGTAGTGTGGTCAATTGTTCCAAAAATGATATCTAGCGATAAGACTATAGTTGATATTGCGACTGATGTAGCCGTTATTACCTTCAACGAAGGCTTGTCGGGTCTGTTTGCCGTTTATGATGCTCTTGGGTTAACCGTTGGACCAAACAATTACGAGTTTTGCGTGGGATCGGACGCCAATCGCGTCAAAGTCGTTGATCATTGTATGTCCGATATGGCGAAAGAGGCTAGGCGCAGCCTTACATCAGACAAAAAAAAGGAATAAGAGGAAAATAAGGACCAGGAAGGACAACTTAACAGCGCAGGGATAGCTGACTAGGTAAACAAATTATTAAGGACTATATTAATGCGATTCTTAAGATTTATAGCATTTTGAAACTTTAAACGCGTGTTTCTCAAAACCATGTTTTCAAAATCGGCGAGCAGTAGAAGTGAAAAAGTTTACATCCGATTGACTTGAAATTTTAACTGTAGGTTCTTCATTATCTAGTGAAGTACACACGATTTTAGCGATTGATTAACAACAAAAAAAGTTATAAACAATTATAGTCGATTTTTTTGTCGAAAAAAAAAATTATTTTTCAAACCGTCGCCATTTTGCGAAAAAAAATTCTAAAAATATAATCATATGTATTTCACTAGCGACACTCATGTAGATAATGAAAAAAAAATTTTTTTTGTTATAGGTGGAGTTGGGCACGACTTCTACTGCTTGCCGCGGAAGAACTTTCTAAATAAGCGGTTCACGGCAATCGCTGCACAGCGGCCATTTTGTAAAAAAAATAACAATAAAAAATTTTTATAGTTATAAATATAGTTGCTTAATCCAATGATATATTATTTATATACCTTACATCTCAAATGTCCTTTAAAATAATCATGAAAAAAAGACTTGTTTTTTTGAGCATTTGGTAGATATTAACCCTTAAAAATTTATTCTCTTGAAAATGAGATTTTAAATAAGAGGATTGTAACTTAGTATTTTATCATATTAATTTTTTCTCGTTAACTTAGAATGATATAAAACTAATGCGATATTATTTCATTTAATTAAAATAAAAAACATTCTGAAAACAAGTACTCAAAGTGAATGTGACACAAGGGAACTCAGTGCTCTATCTTTAACGACAAAACGGTCTCATATAAGATTTATTTGAAATTTAGTATATTGTATGGTTAGAATGAACGTTTAAAATAGTTTTGAGGAATCAATTTAAATCAATTAGATTGAAACATGCGTAATTTGCATCGGCTAAGAAATAAAAGTTTTTCAACGTGAACGACATTATACATTTTGTAATTTACTGATTATGGTATTTCAAACTGTGAGTTCTGAGATGATTGTCCCCCTTTTTTTTTATTAAATAAAATGTACTTAAAATATTTGATTTATTTAATCAACCATAATAATATGTACTTACAAAAAATGATCTCTTTATAGCTTTAAGAATTTACTTTTAAAATTTTCTAGGAACCTATAATTATTTTATACAATCAAAAGAGAAAATATTTATTGATTAAGAATCGGCTTTGAAGTATTACCTTTTGAGTTATTAGCATTTCTAACAATTTAGTTTTACTATATAAGCACTACTGTCTTACGTACCATTATTTTAAAGATACTAAATAAAGAAACAACATTGTATTCTAAATTCATGAAGATCCGGTACATGAATATGTATCAATGAATAAATGCTGGAATAGGGATATGAAGGCCAAGTAATAGGAGCAAACATCAACAGATAGTAAGTTTATCTAATCGATACGAAAAACTTAAGATAATTTAATTAAGTTATGTAATTCGTTTTTTTTTTTTATTGGGAGATTTAACTTATTGCTTTTTTAATTCGTATTATACGTTGTTTTTGATACTTCAAAACAATTTTTACTTCTGAAATAGACTTGTTTAGCGTATAATAAATCAAATGTTTAGGCACTTCAATAATAGTGTAACCAGACGGGACTACAGGAAAAATTTCGTTAATCTGACAGGGTACTCCGTCGTTGAATGAGATTGTAATTAAATTATAGTTCACTTATATATAATTCACTTTTAATATGTTCATCAAGTGTTGTGACACATATTTCTCATTGACATTTTCTTTTGAATCCCAATAATTCATCTATGGAATCTTTGGTAGTGAAAAGGATAGTGTAAAGTGCAACATCACAAATTCGAAGGTGGACCGTTTATGATTTTTTGTTATGTCTACTTATTTATTTTATCGCGCAAAAGAACCTTTTTCTAACACAGCGGTGTCAACCACTCATTATTTTATCGCTGACCGCTAGATAAGGCGATAAAAGAGAAATATAATTAAAAATCGAATTGTTTATCAGTATTGATCCCTTCCAAAAAGACTGGCCGTTATCGTTTTGAAATTGCCGTTAGATCGGTGTTGACTCTTCTCTATTTTTTCTTCTGTCATTGACCGTGCTAGGGTGCACACTAGGGTGGCCCTCAAAAATCGTATGTCTTTTTTTTCTTTACGCTACCCCTTAATTTTTTTTTAATGATCAAAAAAATGAGCTGTGCAAAATTTGGGACCGATCCGTTAAGGTTAACCCGTGCCCCCGGGCCTATTAAGTTGAGTCGAAGAGTCAAATTTAAAAGAAATAACTGATCTATGTCTCATAACTTTTTTTTCTCTTAACTTAGAATAATAAAAGTAAAACTCAAGTAAAGGAAATTTTACAAGAAATTCAAAAATAATAACTTCAATGTTGTTTTCTCAATAAATAGCCCACAAAAACACTACATACAGTAAAAAACATGTAAAAGTCTTAAAATACGTTATAACTGATTTTGTTGATTTTTAATTATTTATTTTCATTTTATTTTTTGGAAAACGCATTTTCGTTTAAAAAAAGAATCTAGAAGTTTAATTTTTTATGCCAAGTACGATAATTATATTAGATTTATTATTTTATGGACAGTTAATTAATGATTAATTACAAACCTAACAGTTTAATTTAATTGTTATTAACAATTTTTAATTTATTTTTTTTTTAAATAATAATAACTTTAAAAAAAATATTTTAGCAATAATTAAATTATATTATAATATATATATTTTGATAATGTACTTTTTTTACAATTAGGGAATTTTTCCGATAATTACTTACTATTTGTAAAACGTATTGTTTCTGTTCTTCATTTGTAGTTAATATATTAATGTAGTCTTAGATTAATTTGATGCCACGCTAGGCTGTATCATTAATGACTCGTAATTTACTTATAGTATTTAAAGCATTTATGTAACTGTTGTTCGCACTCCAAAATGATGGATCAATTTTCAAAAAATCAGTGTTCAGATTAAATAGTTGTAAATTTGATGGTAACTTACTACCAGTTATTTCGTGGGAATAATTACCAATAAGATAAATATTAGTTCGTAATACTTTAAAAGACGCTAAAAGTATTGTACATTTGTGATTAAAACGTATCATTTAATTTATAATAATAAACAGGTAAAATATATTTAACGTGTTCACAAATTGTCTGCTGCATTTATACGACACAAATTATGTCAGTTGTCGAAAATAACTCAAATATACTTATCTTTAATAATAATATAATTGGTACTATCTTAAAGTAATTCAGTAAACCAAAATTGATATATTGATACGACAAAATGTAATAATACAATCAATTTTGTTAAATTTGTAATTAATCATTAATTAACTGTCCATAAAATAATAAATCTAATATAATTATCGTACTTGGCATAAAAAATTAAACTTCTAGATTCTTTTTTTAAACGAAAATGCGTTTTCCAAAAAATAAAATGAAAATAAATAATTAAAAATCAACAAAATCAGTTATAACGTATTTTAAGACTTTTACATGTTTTTTACTGTATGTAGTGTTTTTGTGGGCTATTTATTGAGAAAACAACATTGAAGTTATTATTTTTGAATTTCTTGTAAAATTTCCTTTACTTGAGTTTTACTTTTATTATTCTAAGTTAAGAGAAAAAAAAGTTATGAGACATAGATCAGTTATTTCTTTTAAATTTGACTCTTCGACTCAACTTAATAGGCCCGGGGGCACGGGTTAACCTTAACGGATCGGTCCCAAATTTTGCACAGCTCATTTTTTTGACCATTAAAAAAAAATTAAGGGGTAGCGTAAAGAAAAAAAAGACATTCGATTTTTGAGGGCCACCCTAGTGCACACGTTTATTTTTTGATCGACACTTTTTGTACAATGGTGGAGTAGAGCCGCCAACGGCGAACGGCCAGGTCTTTTCGACGAAGCATCCAGACCATCGGATGGGTCTCTTCGGAGACCGGGTATCGTTTTTTTTTTTATATTATATTTATGTAATGAGCTATATTTTATTAATTATTTTATTTCATTTTATTTTATTGTAAATTAACTTAATTTTGTTTATGTGTGGAGAGCACGTGTTTCCATTTCCTTCTAGCCAACGCTAAGGAGCGAGTGTCCAGATCGCTCCTGGTGTTCTTCATTAATTTCCGGTTAACATTAACGGATGTGTTCCAATACCGTCCGTGATGTTTGTAATATTATTTGTTTAAATATTTTATTTTATTTGTATTGCCTTTATTTGTAGACATGGTTTTTGATGCATTCGCATTTTTGTCCATGTTTAACTTAATTTTCTTTTTTTAACAATTAAATTAAATTTCCTTATTAATTTCAATTGTAATATTTATTTTATTGCGCCAGTAACTTAATTACTCGCGTGTATTTTATCCCTATTCCTTAATCTAGACACGGGCTACGATATATTTTACATATCAACCACAAACAACTTTAATTGTTATAATTGTGTTTAATAAACCATGAGGTATTATAGTAATTTATCCATATAACGACATATTAACTTAGATTATACTTTTAATTAACTTAAAATTAAATTCCACCTATGGTCCGGTAATCATATCTGATAGATGTGACACCTCGCCTAGGTGGTGGCGACCCTTGCTACTATAGCTAGTTATGCAAGTGGCAAACCACGTTGTTGTTACAGGCCGAATTATTATTAAAAAGCCCGCTTGCAAAAGACAAGATTTTTCGCATTGTAATGTTTGTTCATTGCAAACACAAACGGAATGTCGTGTAACTTGTTATATTGTTTGAAGAACATTCTAAACCACTTAACTCATATACTCTATAGTGTAAATAGTAAGTCATAGGATTATCTTGCATGCCGATGAACGATATGATGTTGCAACTTATAGTTTTGTTTAAAAAAGACGAATTGAATTTGAAACACAATTACGAAGAGCAGCGTGAAACGTGATTATGGATTGTGTGATGTACTTGTTCTTCTTAAAAAACAATACATTTTGTTGGCATAATTCTCTAGGGTCTTATAACACATGGATAATGAGAGTTGTACGATTCTAAGAAAACGATTACGTTGCACTACGAACAAAAAAAATTATTACGGACATGTCTCGTTCGATTAAATCAATGTTTTAATATTTACTTACGAATTAACAGGCCCGAACTGGTTTTTTGAAGGAATAGTCAAGAACATTAAGGTGGCGGCAGCTACATCCACTACTCGACCTTGAAGTACTGCTTTGTAATGGTTTTTACAATAGAGTTTTTTTTGATATGAATATTATTACAAAAGTGCAATGGTAGGGTCGTTTTAAGAATAGTCAAGGATATTCAGAACGGTGGTGATTATTACATTAATCACTTATTAGCGTTAGTTGACGTTGGATTTGGCTTTAATAGTTTACGTTGGGATATTGAAAGTCAGTGTACATTAGGTTTCAATTACCCTCATCACTACGGTAGATGACAACCACATGCAATACTAGCGCCTACTGGTGGTTAAAATCCAAACTATACTCCGGAATCCCCAAAATTACTTTACTTACAAAAAGCTATAAGTTATGAGTTAACAAACATTTAAAAGGAATTTTATAACTCCAGTAATTTATAAATAATTAATCAAGTCGAGTAATAGTAATATAATTGAAAAGGGCTCGGGTCTCATTGAAGTATCATATCATGATAATATTCGTTATATAAGTTTAAAAATAAATTACAAGAAATACATTTTTAAAAAAAGTATATGAATAATATTTATATTAAATGATTAAAGCTTAGATTTTCATAATCATTTTCAATAATTACATTACAAAATCTATTTGTATGTAAATAAATAAGTTCATAAACTGGACCATCATGTTTGGATGGAAAATTTATATCACACAGTTTTTTTAATTTTAGAGTATCTGTATATTTGTCTAAAAATTCACAACGAAATCTCATGTGACTACCCAATTCACTACGCAAACCTTTTTTTAATTTCTCGTGGGACTTAGATAATTGGTCAAGATATTCCTTTGCTTGTATTTCATTAATCGTTTTGTTATATTCATATGGACCAATATTTAGAGCTTTCAAATCATAAAATAATTCTGTTATAATAGTTGCTGGTTTATGTAAGCAATTATGAACATTTTTGACATACTCCCAAATATATAATTTTTTTAGTATTGCCATAGCAGATAATAAGGTTTTAAGCATATTAACAGACAACGATATTGAATTGCGCAGTTGGTTTATGCATTCTACAAACCTTTCCCTATATATGTTAATATTACCTTTTATTTCTTCATTTCTACATAAGTTGATTGTGTTATGCAATAAACGCTCATAGTATTTAAGTATTTCGGCATACCTACACCTCAATAATTGTTCAAAATATTTTTCATTTTGCTTTAAGTTTATTAAATTCACTTTAGTTTGTGATAAAGTATTCGCGTTTAATTTTTCACCATTTTCAATGACAATATTAATATTTTTAAAAGGTTCCTTAAAATGACATTTTGAAAATAATTTGTTTAGCGCAGCAATCCTATGTTCGGTAACATCAACTTGCAATGGCAGTACAAGTCTATAAGCATAAAATTATTACATTCTAATTGCATAGTAATTTTATAAAATTTTATTAAATTATTATTATTTTTGAATTACACAATTATATTACTCAAAAATAATTTAAATTGTCCTAAAAAATTCAAGAACAAAAACTTTATCTTTTTTATGCACATACAACGATGAATTAAAATAATAGACAAAATGCAATAAAGATTCAAGTTTGTAAGGTTTAAGATAAATTTAGAGACAATAAATGAATGGGCTCACTTTTATTAAAATTTATTTTTTCCTATTTTTTAATTCTAGCAGGTTTGACACACATATTCATGCTATGAGGTACTCGCGTGAACATTCCTTGTTAATAAAATCGTCATATGATAAACGGAGTTTCTTGTTATAATGTCATCAGTGCAGGACTGACATATTTTTTGCACGAAACAAATGTCTACCGCTAATAGTACTAGTTGTTATAAGATCAGTTTTTACTACTTTGTTAATTTATTTTGTTTATTGAAATGTTGTTTTGTTGATTCACGTTTTACAGAGTTTTTAAACTATTTCAACATAATATATTGAAAGTTTGTAATATATTTTTAAATAAATAAAATCATTGATCAGAGAAACTTGTGATTTGATTATGGATGAATCAACATAAAACATAAAAAAATAATATGGTTTTTGACAAGACAATGTGGAAACGAAATATAAACGTTAATACAAAAGGCATCATAAAGCCAGCAAAAAGTGTAGGATCTGATTGTGGGTAAGCATGTTTCTACTGTTTAAAAAATTAAAATAATAATAATTATAAAATTATCTATTAAACTATAAATTATTTAAATAATGTCTACAATGCACTTTTGTAAAATGTTAAGGTAGTTCCCAATTGTTGACACTTTAAAAATTTAAAACATTGGTGGCTTTTATTTGTTTAAAATAGTTCAATTTTAACGCATTTTTTTGAAAATAATTTTGACATAGGACCATATAAAAATTTACTCATATTGAAAAAATAAAGTTTTCCCACTTCATAGAAGTGGGTTTAATTTTCAAATTAATATTTAGAAAAGTTCATTTTTGACAATGTTCTGGAAAGACATGCATGCGTTAAACCATATACCAAATTAAAGTTTATAATATTTACTATAAGATAAAATAAAATGTTCATTTTTTGAAATAATAATAAATATTAATAAATTTATTTATTTATTTATTTGGTGTAAACGCCCACGGGGATCAAGTACAGTGACAATAAAATATATAATAAACATTGTTGAAATAAAGATACAAGTATGTGTAATTAATAGTAAATCAATATAATTTTTTTTAAAAGATGCATGATGTTTTTACCTATCTTTGGTATATTTTTTTTATAAATCTTACCTTTACCTGCCCATGGCAGAGATTTAAAATGACAATTTTTTCACAAAATATTAACTTTTGAAAGGATTTTGGAAATAATGACACTTATATATATATTTTAAATTAAAGCTTATCTGGTATCATTAATTGTGGAAAAAATTTCTGACTTTATTTTGTCTTCACGGTGAAAACAGACATCAAAGTTAATAAAAAAAATACGATTTTTGTAAAAATTTCTTTTTTATATTTTTAACTTTATAATATTATAACTTTTTGAATATATGGATCAATTCAATTTTTTTATGATAAATACTATTTATATACCTTTTTCATTTGACATACTTTTTTTTTTAAATAAAACTATTTCCCTTTATATATTTATTAATATATTACACTTATAAATTATAAAACTTGTAGGATATAAATAAGGAAACAGGAAAAACAATTTTTTCATGTGAAATAATATTTTTTAATAATCTCTTTTTCATTCAGGATATTAATAAAAAAATAGCAGATCATGTAGCTTTTGGAATAATCCACCAATTTTTTAAAATTAAACACTATCAACAGATTTGCATCGAAGCGATTTTTAGGATAGAAATTTTAATCACTGTCATATATCATTATACTTCACCTAACTATGCCACGTTTCCACTGTGCCTTGACCTCACTGTGCTGGGTTTTTTAAATTTATTTCATCTTTTTAATAAAATTCAAAGCTGAAATTACGTCAGACTTACGTTAATTTGTTTTATTATAATGATTTTTTATAAAAATAAATTTGAAATTTAATGATTTTGAATTTTTTAAATGAAGTAATCCAACAAATTTTTTTTGGCTACCTTCCTCATTCAAGAAAGGCTCCAGTTCACACATCTAAAATCCTTGCCAAAATTTGTGCAACACAAATGAATTTGTAAAATTTTATAAAATAAATTATAAATGATTCAGTTGAGTAATGCCATGAATCTAATTCAACTTTTGTCTGCAAGTGTTTTTTTTTGTTTTTACAAAAGTTTACAAAAATGGACTGATAACCTTTTAGCATGAGCCTTTTCATATATAGTATATATATATATATTTTTTTTTATTGTTTTGTTAGATTATTAATGCCTTCCCCAAATAAGGAGGTTTCTTAGCCTTTGGTATTCCAGGATGGGAGTCTGTCGCCGGAGAGAAAGATTGTGACTCCAATTACCAAACTGATCTATTGCTGGTAAAAGAAAGCGCCTATACCCAAGTTTCGATCACGAGACAGTGAAATTCAAGCACTGCCGCGTTACCAACACGACCATACTGTTTCTCTGTATATATATAGTAGTTTTATACAATTTTATTACATTACTTTTATTTAAAATACACATTTATATTACTCAAAAATAAAAAAAAATTCTGAACGGTTCAAGAGCAATAATCTTTCGTCTATAATTTTTTGTGGACAAAACATGTAAATTATAAAAATAATAAACAAAATACGATATAAGGATTTTTGGAGTGTAAAAATGTACGGATAAGTTATTACAATAAATTAAGGAACAATTTTAGTTTAAAAGTTTTAATGATGTCATCAGTTAATAACTATATAAACACAGTAGCACAGTGGGGTCGATTCACAGTGTGACAACTTTTTTTAAATAAAGGGTGTTTCAAAAAGAACGCCGAATTTGAAAATGTCGCCATTTTATTTGTTTGTTGTAGACAGCATTGTTTTTGCAATTTTTGATATCTATTATTATTGAGGTTTTGTGTTGTCAAGGAATTTAGTTGTTCTTAGTAATTGTGTTAATTGTGTTACCATGGAAAAGTATACTACAAAACAACGAATTTTGTTCATTCCAAACTTATAGAATCGGTGAAAATTTCGCAGCCACCATTCGCCGACTACGTACGATTTTAGGGATCATAATGCTCCAAAAGAATTAACTATTCGTCGTTTAGTTACAAAATTCAAAGCAAGTGTTTCAGTTGAAGACATCAAAAGCCCAGGACGTACTCGAAGTGGTCGGAGTGAGGCAAATGTGGTTCTTGTGTGTGATTCAGTTGAGTTCGGTACCGAGCAATGCTCACTGATTTCCTATGACCTCAATTGGATCAAATGAACATCGATAACCTTTGATTCCAACAGGATGGTGTAACGTGCCACACTTCAGCAAAAAAAATTGCACTCCTTCGTGCGAGATTTCCATACCGAAAACAAACTTAAAAATGTGACGGAACTCAAATTCAACGGAAATTCAACGTGTTCTTGGCCAAATCGATGCAGATGTGTGTGATTGGGCTATGAAGAATTTAATGGACAGAGTTATTGCGTGCAGGGCTAGTAGGGGAGGGCATATTGTTTTTCATGTTTAAACCTCAAGATCTTAGTTCAATAGTTTTATTTTTTATGAAAATAAATTCATTTTATAGCACTTTCAAATCCGGCGTTCTTTTTGAAACATCCTTTATTAAAAATATATATCTTTATGGCCAACTGAGGTTACTTAGGTGGGAAAGCCATTACCTTCCCTCCCTTTAGTTACACTCTTGGATGTTATTGGAATCTAGTTATATAATACTTATGTATTACATATACTTATTCCAAAATCCTAAATAAGTAAACAACTGTTTTCTTTAATTTCAATCAATTTCAATTGGCCTAATTCAATTAAGCTAGGCAAGCTAAGAAAATAAAAAAACCTTTGTTGCTATTATTTGCAGAATTATCGATTGATTTTTTTTTTTTTGGTTTCAGTGCAATTATATCTTATTATTTAAAATATATTTTTTTATTACGAATAATATAGGTCAATTTTTAACTTACAAAGAGGAAATCATGTTGATGAGATCACCGATTTTCAAAAATGTTTTATAAATCTAATCTAAATTGAATATATAAAATAAAATATACATATATTGAATTTTTTCCAATACCCCACATAAACGTAGAAAAATGACAAAAAATTTTAACTACCTAAAATAGCCTTTTTTATCTTTTCGTAATTGCGCTAACCTATGAGTCATTTGAAAATGCGTGTGCCTCTAGAATTCGAAGAACGAGATTCAAATCCCATGAAGCGGATTGTTCCTTTGAATTTTTTTCAACATTTTTTTATTATATTCATAAAATATTATGCAAAATATTGTCAAAATATTTTTTTTGTAATATTTTAGAAATATACCTTTAATATATTGTGATAATGTAAAATCACTACTAATGTATATTCTGAGAATATTTTGAAATATTCTGGTTATATTTTAGAAATATTTTAATATCAAAAAGAAATATTCTAGAAATATTTTATTGCTATGTGCGGCAATAATCTGTATACAGACTTAGAAATAACACGACTAAGAAAAACAATAGTTTTTCAGCTACGTATTAAAGCTAAAAATCATCATTATAAATTTAATACGTTAATATGAAAACATTTTAGTAATTTTTAACTTTACCCAGGTACAGTTGGATGTAATAATTCTTGAAATCCAAGATTATCATTATCATATTTGATAGCTTCATTATAACACATTATGAGATCGTCATAAATAAATTGAACATAACTTTTGTCCTTTTCTTTCTGTAATGCGTATTTATCGTTATACTTTTCTAGTAAATATTTATGAATAGAATTACTAGTCAGATTGCTGGCTGTATCTAAAAATTGAAGATTATGAAGCATATCAGTTACTGTAGCATGGAAATGTTTGATATTTAAAAGATCCTTGCAGGCTTCATCTGTGTCAAAATGTCCATTTGATTTAATGTAAGTAAACATACATGTTTTTTTCTTTGATGAATTGTATGTATAAATAGTTAGTATCTCATTAATAATAGTAATTGGGGTTACATATTCATGAAATATAAATTTTACATCCAAGTTTATGATAAATGTCAAAATATCATAAACATTTTTAAACATACCACTTGAATTACAAACAACATCTTGAATTAATTTTGTGCATTCAATAAATTTTTCAAATAATTTTTTATTGTAATAATTTTCACATTCGCCTATCATTGCCTTTATATAACTGTCATATATTTGCAATAATTTGGCATATCTACAGTTAATTGAAACAACTATGGAGTTGAATATTGGAGCTGTAGCAATTAAGTCTATATTATTTTTATCTAATGATATGTTTAGTAATTTTATAGAGTCGTGTGTCATATTTTTATTATGCCATAAATTTAATTTCTCTTGAAGTTGGTGATGATATATAATATGACTTACTACTTCAACTAAATATAACTGGAAATCATAATAAGTACAATAAGTTGTTAAAACATATTTTAAATTCCATAAATTTAAAACACTAAAATAAAATAATAGATTCATTTTTATCTTACAATAGAGATAAAGTTGAATATAAAATTAGTATAATTTTAAATGATAGTATTAGTACAGTATTTTCTTTATTTTAAACCAATTGTTGTTTACATAATTCACATTTATCAATTAACACAATACTTACTCAACGTTATTTTTAAGTTTTATGGCTTTGATTTTTTTTAACTTGCTGTATTATTATTTTATTTTTAACTCTCTAACATTCTTTTACAGCTGATTATGTAATAAATGGTTTTATTTTGCTGTGTTTTTTGGGGGGATTGTATTCGCCAATACTGCTGCTCTAAATAGATCAATTTTGTTGAATAGTACATAAAAAAATTTCAAAAAGTAAATAGTTCAAACTATTAGTTACGTAAATTTGATCAATCTTCCTCAGTCCCGCAAATAAAGAGAAATGTTCAAAAACTTATAGTTATCGTAAACTTTTTGATTAAAAGAGTCGGTTTTGAAGTTATAACATGATTGTATTCAGGGAGATTTATAAATTTAGCGATAAATTTAACGTAACATATTTTGGACTTATCTTAAATCAATACTAATCCAAAAAATGCTAGTCTATTGGATTCTTATTATACTTTACTATTTTATTATTTATTATTGTAATTTTAATAAATGAAATTTTGGGATGGGTTTATTAAAATGTGTTGGACACATTTTTATATTATTAATACTGTGATACCTTTTTAATACACTCTCAAAGGTAAAATCATATAACTATGTATTAATCGGTATCACTTTTAAAACATTTTCAATATAATTAAAAAATAATAATTGAGAAAAACTATAAGTTATACTCTTTTTATAGAAGTAAATGTTAAATAAACAATATTTAATATAAAAATGACTAAAAATGAGGTGCTAATAGGTTTATTAATGCAGTCAATCATATTGAATAGCAATACGGCACAACTGTCTTGCAGTTTCTATCCACCATTATAATTTGATGAGGCCCCGAAATTTATTAATTTAATACCTAATATTAAATCTTGTTGTAATAAAATTGGTGTCTGGTACTAACATAATAAACGAAATATTTGTCATGATTAAATTTAAACACCTGCTGTATTTAGAGTTGTTTTAATGTTGTACACGAAGTGTGTGATAGACGTTAAGATTTTCATTTTTTGCTGTTTGTGTATATTACTTAGTTTTATCACAATTATAGCATATAACTATACAAAATTAAATTTTATTTAATCTATGGTTTTATTAATTCTAATCAGGTTAATGTAAAGTACGTCTAGATCATCTAGCCGTACAATTCGATAAAGTTTGTAATTATTATTATATAAATTAATTCTCCGTTATTTTCATGAAGAAATTATTAAAAATTATAAAGAAATTGTTACTTTTATGGCAAACGTGTATAAAAATCGAAGGGTTTTGTACAAAACATTTTAGAAAATAATTTATTGTTAATTATGAATAAATGGTCTACAAAGAATATCCATCAGTCATAAATATACTTCTTTTGATCATTTTTAGTACTGCAAAAGTTATGATAGTGTTATAAAGTAAAAACGGTAGCACATTGGGGTCGCGGTACAGTATGAGCGTGGCATAGTTGGGACTAGATGATATCTGTTAATGATTAAATTTACTAACATAAGAAACGTTTTGATACAAATCTGTAAATAGTGTTTAATTTTAGGAAATTGATGGATTATTGAAAAACGAAATTCTAACTAAAAAGAATTATGGAAAAATTCCAAAAAAAATATTGCCACGGGCAATGATTTTTACTGAATCGGCAATCGTTTGTCACATTCGTTTTTTGATAAAATCGACAATTTAAGCTGAATCAAAATTTAAACTGTTAAAATTAATTTTTTTGACTTTAAAGAAAAAAAAATCGAAATGAGTTTAATATTATATTCTATGTCAATTAGATTTATATAATATTTATGAAAATCAGTGTACCCCCTTATAAGGTATTTTAAAATAAATTAAAATACACTACCAAGAATTTTAACACAAAAATAGAATGTTTTTTTAACTACGGGAACCATTTGCACATAAAAGATAAATCGTTGGGACAAATTTTTTTTTTTGGACTTATAGTACATAACATTAACTTAATTCTAATATATTTTTGAAACTCGGAGTATTTCCAGAATATTTTAAAACTTAAGTTAAAAAAGTTAATTTTTTGTGCAGAAGTTGCTATTTTTAATCCCCACCTGTGGGCAGGTAAAGGGTCATTTTAGCTTCGCATCAAAGTTAAAATTAAACAAACCCAATACAGGGGGATCGTGACACAGTGGTGACGTAGCATAGTTGGATCAAGTATAATGATATCTGGCAGTGATTAAAATCACTATAAAAAAAAACGCTTCGATGCAAATCTTTAGATAGTGTTTAATTTAAAAAAATTGGTGGATTATACCAAAAGCTGCATGATCTGCTATTTCCTTATTAATATCCTGATTAAAATAAAGTATGTCGAATGAAAAAGGGATTATTAAAAAATATTATATCTCATAAAAAAATTGTACTGATCTATACACTTTTCAATAAGTTATAGCATTATAAAGTTAAAAATAAAAAAAATAAAATCGAGAATTTTCACACAAAAATAGCATTTGATAGCCATTTTCATCGTGAAGACAAAATAAAGTCCGAATTTTTTTTTTCCATAATAAAGTACATTACATTATCTTTAATTTAAGATATATATAAAAGTGTCAGACTTTCCGGAACACTTTCAAAAGTTAAGTTGAAAAAGTAATGTATTGTAAAAAAGTTGTATTTTAAATCCCCCCCGTGGGCAGGTAAAGGATCAGATTTATAAAAAAAATATACCAAATGATAAGTAAAGACATCATGCATCTATAAAAAAAAATTATATCGATTTTGTCATTTTTAAAAAATTGATGACAGTTTTAAGAAAAAAAAATTTCAAAAATTAGCGATTTTTAAACTTGTAATTTTTTGATGGTTTCCTCCATTTACGGGGAACGAGGGAAATTTTTTCAATTTTTGAAGGTAATGTCTTCGACTAGATACAATTAGTGATCTTTTGACGTATCGTTAAATGGAATCAGTACGGTAAGAGCTGAGAAAAAGTAGGTTAAAATGAAATTCAATAACAAAACTGCGGACAAAATCATAGGTGAAACTAGGCACCCAATATTTTTGAATATCGATTATTATAAAATACTATAGTGTAGTAACTCAAAATAAAAGTAAATATAAGAGTTTTTACTTAGTATTTCACTTTAGCAATATGATGATTTAATCTGGTTTACTACTTGTTTATTAAAATATGATATTTATATTTTTATTGGGATCGCAGAGTCCGAAAATTTGAACAATAAAGTATATATATATTTCTATTTATTTCTATAATATCTCTTTTTGTATCAATAAATAAAATCTCGACACAAAATGATTATATATAAATATCGCATTAAAATTTACCGTCGATAACACGGGATTGCGGCTAGTTAAGAGAAATAATTTGGACAAGAGAATTCTGAATTATATATTGAATTCACAGCTTCAAAAGTGCGACTCGCTTGTTGGCTCACGGATGTGCAAGCAGAACTAAGACTTTTAATATTATTGTTAATTACCCCCATCTTGGGACATTGTCGTCAGCATTTTTAATGATTATATTTTTATTATAATAAAATTAAACATTACACAATTCTTATTTTAAGATAAAACACATGGTTAATAATGGTTGAGTTGAGATGTATACAATTACTAAAACAAAGTGTAAAATATTTTAATTACTGTGACAGATACATTATTTATTTATATACAAGTAATATAAAATAATAATTATAAATTTTTCATTAGTAAATGTAAGATGCGCAATGAAAAGCAATGGGAATATAACGACAATAGGATATAACTATAAGGTATATAGATATGAATATTTTAATTGTATCATTTATTTAAATAACAAATTTACATAAAAATGATAAGTATTTCTATTGAACCGATTTATTACAATATAAATACAAAATATGTAATAAGTCTGGTTTTTTTCATAAGTTTACTATAAATAGTAATTATATAAGATCTAACCATATATTAATCTAAACAAAAACATTTTGTAAAAAAATAAAACACGTTATAGTAAAATTGATACCTTCTCAGCTTCGAATTAAATCTAAAATTATGCAAAAAATTTGAACCCTGGATCTCCCCTGAATACTGCTATACTATAACATCAAAATGGGATGATTTTATTAAAAAATTTATGAAAACTGTAATTTATTGAAATATATCATATTAATACTGGAACTGAAGATAATATTTCAAAATTGTGATACATATTGAAAACTTTTGAAATATCGTTAAGTTAAAATATGAACATAAAAAAAACTACAGTAGGTAAACCCATTAAAACATATGTAAATAAATCTTAATGTTATAGGAATAAAAATAAAATTAATAATACAGAAAAGATTAAAAAAAATGAAGTCATACAAATTAAAAATAACGTTGAGTAAGTGTTGTTGAGTGAGTTAAGTAACTGATAAATGGTAATTATTTAAATAACGTTTTTCTTAAAATAAAGGGAATACTATAACAATTCTGTCATTTACTTTTACTTATTCTATATTCATCTTTGTCTCTACTGTATGATCAAAATGAATCTAAAATTTTATTTTAGTGTTTTAAATTTATGGAGTTTAAAATATGTTTTAACAACTTATTGTACTTCTTATGATTTCGAGTTATATTTATTTGAAGTAGTAAAACACATTTTATATCATCACCAACTTCAAGAGACATTAAATTTATGGCATAATAAAAATATAACAGACGACTCTATAAAATTACTAAACATATCATTAGATAATATAGATATTAATGCTCAAATATTCAACTCCATAGTAATTTCAATGAACTGTAGATATGCCAAATTATTGCAAATATATGACAGCTATATAAAGGCAATGATAGGTGAATGTGAAAATTATTACAATAAAAAATTGTTTGACAAATTTATTGAATGTACAAAATTAGTTCAAGATGTTGTGTGTAATTCAAGTGGTATGTTTGAAAATTTTTATGATATTTTGACATTTATCATAAACTTGGATGTAAAATTTATATTTGATGAATATGTAACCCCAATTACTATTATTAATGAGATACATACTATTTATACATACAATTCATCAAAGAAAAAACCATGTATGTTTACTTACATTAAATCAAATGGACATTTTGACACAGATGAAGCCTGCAAGGATCTTTTAAATATCAAACATTTCCATGCTACAGTAACTGATATGCTTCATAATCTTCAATTTTTAGATACAGCCAGCAATCTGACTAGTAATTCTATTCATAAATATTTACTAGAAAAGTATAACGATAAATACGCATTACAGAAAGAAAAGGACAAAAGTTATGTTCAATTTATTTATGACGATCTCATAATGTGTTATAATGAAGCTATCAAATATGATAATGATAATCTTGGATATCAAGAATTATTTCATCCAACTGTACCTGGGTAAAATTAAAAATTACTAAAATGTTTTCGTATTAACGTTATAATGATTATGTTTAGCTTTAATACGTAGCTGAAAAACTATTGTTTCTCTTAGTCGTGTTATTTCTAAGTCTGTATATACATTATTTCCGCTCTCTGATTTTGTTCAACAATACGTAAAAAGATTATGAAACGTATATCACATCTTAGTGCTATATTTATAAACAATTTTCTGGTAGATTTATATATTATTTATAATATGAAATATCTATATATTCATTAAAAAAACCAAACCTACATATTATTAATCTATAAATACAATGCTCTTAATTTTCATAATACAATCTAATATAAATAAAATTGCTTTATTGTCTAATTAAAAAAACTATTTTTGTAAAATTATATAATACACAAAAATTGAGAAAATTTATCAATCAAAATTTCAAGGACGGGGAGGAGTGCAACTGCTTTTTTTGTCCCATTTCTACGTACTGGTAGCAGTACACGATTTATTTTCCATAAAAATTACTAATACTTAATTAATAAATATTACGTGTTTTTTTCAATAAATAACGTAAAAAGATAATATTTACTCCTGTCCTTTACATACTAACGTATAATACCATAGAAAAATCATAAAAAAATCAAAATTTATCAAACTTCAAAATGATTCATTAAAAATTAATTTGTATTTAAGTATAAAATTATATGTACTTCATAGGTATTATGAATTGTCGTTAGATTTGTAGAACTTCTCCTCTATGAGTTATCAGCTACTAAATTACAAAAACATGACTTTTTTGGATGACAGTTAAATTTTGTTTAATATTTCAATAAGCATCGAAGCGTTTTACGACAGTAATTTTAATAATTTCCAGGTATCGAACAGTACTAATGAAAAAAATGTCTTCTTTACGGAATTCTTAATGTACTTTTATTTATATTATTTAGATGTATTTCCTATTTAGCGTTAGGCTTACATCAATAATAATTAATTGATGAATTCCGACACGTATTGTTAATACTAGTAATTTGATCTAATGATAAATTAAAAAGATTTTAATATTATTTTTATCTTAGAAGATATTAAGTCTAGCATTAAAGAAACTTTATATTTAAAAAAAACATTGTGTTTAAGATTATCATGATTAATGATAACTAGTTCTTATTTATTAACTACTTATCCAAAAATCCGTTAAAAATCTTTGCTTTGATAATAATTATAAAATTTCTGTAAATACATAAATATTATCTATGTATTTAATAGATTTCCGTTAATTTATCTGAAGTTTTTTACCTCCCTTAATCCTATATTTATTTTGGTTGATATATTTTTTTTTTTACAAATGCATATTTATCAATACTAAAAATTACATAAAGAATACTTTTACTATTTTTTATTCTTATTCTTTATGGTATAATCTAACAAAACATTCAAAAAGTTTATAAGTTATAAATTGTTTATAACCCGTGTAATTATAATAACCCGTGGATCTGACAGGGAAGGTTAATATACAACATAATATTTTATACAAAAATTAAGGAAAATTGATTATATTACGAAAATAATTTTCATATTATATACTAAATAAAATAATAATACGTGTATATTGAAACAAATGTATATTTTAATAGTATTATATATAATTTTTTATTAACAAATGACATCATCAAAAATTTTAAACTTAAATTTTTTATTAATTTTTAGAAATAACATATTTATACAATTTTACGTATATAAAATCTCCTCTATTGTCCCATTTGTCTATTTATTTTCTACTAATGGTTTTTTTACGATCAATAAAACACCTGTGCCTCACTCCCTAAAAAAAATAATAAATCAAATTTTATAAAATTACTATACCATAAACAATGAAATAATTTTATGTTTGTAGACTTGTACCCCCAGTGTCAGTTTTTGATACCGAACATAGGATTGCTTCACTGAACAAATTATTTTCAAAACGTTATTTGGAGCCTTTTACGAATATTAAGATTGTCTTAGAAAATAGTACAAAATTAGACGCGAGTACATTATTCCAAACTAAATTGAATTATAGAAACTTAGGGCAAAATGAAAAATACTTTGAACAGTTATTGAGGTGTAGATATGCCGAAATACTTATTAAATATGAACGTTTATTGGCTTACATAATCAACTTATGTAAAAATGAAGTATTAAAAAGTATCATAAACATATGTAATAAACAGTATGTAGAATGCATACATCAACTGCGCAATTCAGTATCGTTGTCTGTTAACATGTTAAAATCTTTATTATCTGCTTTGGCAATATTAAAAAAATCAAGTATTTGGGAGTATTCTAAAAATGTCCATAATTGCTTGCATATACCAGCAACTATTATAACGGAATTATTTTATGATTTGAAAGCTCTAAATATGGGTCCATATGAAAACACAAAAACAATGAATGAAATACAAGCAAAAGCATATCTTAACCAATTATGCAATACCCACGAAAAATTAAAAAATGGTTTAAGGAGTGAAATGGGTGGTTTATTCAAATGTCGTTGCGAATTTTTGGAGAAATATGGAAATGCTAAAACATTAAGAGTTTATTTTAATAATCTGAAGGAGTCAACTAAATATGATGGTCCAGTTTATGAACTTATTTGCTCACATATAAATATATATTGTAATCAAATTATTGACACTGATTACGAAAATTTAGGGTTCAAAGATTTAATATAAGTTTTCCTTGTATACTTCTACATTTATATCTGATTTCATTATATAAAACAAGCTGAATAAGATTTAATTTATTTTAATCAACCATAATAATATATAAAAAAAAACGGTAGCACAGTGGGGTCGAGGCACAGTATAGACGTGGCATAGATGAGATAAGTATAGATGATATCTGACAGTGATTAAAATCACTATCATAAGAAACGCTTCGATGCAAATCTGTAGATAGTGTTTCCTTTAGAGAAATTGGTGAAATATTTTAAAAGCAACATGAACTCTTATTTCTTTAATTATATCCTGATTAGTAGTTCTTTGATTTTAAAATATAATATATGAATAAATACTAATTATAGTTTTTAAATTTAGTATGAAATTGTG